CTCTCCTACTAGCTGTATATAATCTACCACGAGCTCTATATTCACAGTTACTTTTAGTATAGCCTGATTTCTTCCTATCTCTCAGGGATCAACCATCTAGCTCGAGCTCACAAACTCCCTTAAAATGAGTGATATAACTGCTTCTATGAGAAGAACTAATCAGTATCAATACTATGAATCGCTCAATGATACCTTAGTAGTGATACTGATGATTCGTTAGAAGCACTCTATCACATATACTAGTTATCCTATCGGAGCACCCCTGGATAATACGAATGGCGCAGAAATACGTCAGGGAGAATAATCTAAGGGTCACTTAACAATAGCATAAAGGTGATAATGAGGATCTCTTAGGATTACTTTACGAGAGATACATCGGCTGCACAAATGACTCCTACAAAATCGCGGGTATAGTTCTCTCAAGAACAACTCTAAAAAAACTACTTGTACTGTACTTAAGCAACCTTAAGAGACTATTAGTATTCCTGGGTGCAGAGATTGTAGAAAATCTACATCTACACACACACCTTCAATTTTATTTCTCTAAAATAGAACCGACTACAACATCAACAACAATAACAACAGTCGGTAAGTAATATGATAGATAATGTGTTGTATTTCATTTAGTTTTCCAACCGAAGATTAGTTTCAGTAATACTAAAATGTATAAAATTTTATCTTTCAAATATTTATCATTTCGATGAACAAATAATACTTACATAGAGATTCATACTAGATGATATGCCATATACACCAGGCTAAGCACGAGAAGTTTTATTGATTGTGACTTGTGTTCTTCGATATTTACTCTCCTAAATGACGAATTTTTCAAATTCAGTTGTTCTTTTTTGAAATCTCTGTGAATTCAAAAGAAGTACAGTCAACATCAACGCCGACTTTATGTTGCATCTATACAGTCTCGAGAGAACAGTGATCGAATCTGAAAAATACATCCATTTGTAGAGTAAATGTTGGAGAACACAACTTACAATAAATAAAACTTCTAATGCTTAATTTTGTTTATTAGTACAGCATCTAGTAGACTCTGATATGACTCCGATTTTAACTCCGTGCAAATCTATACTAACCAGTGAAAAGCAGAGTTTAGCATTTTGTAGACATATAGTTAGTGTATGTAAATCAGGATTATCCTATTGTTTATAGAATTCAGTGTTACGGTGCAATTTAGAAAAAAAGAGTGAAATATATATATTGAAATAAAATTCTGGATAAATATACGAAATTCTGAAATCTGCTTGGCAGGTATTGTGCCGTCTCTTAATCGAGGATACTATGAAGCTTGAAATGTATCGAAAGAACATTGCGAACGATGTCGTTACACAAAATAAGGTACAAAGAATAATGAAAGTTCATGAAAGGGGGCATAAATTTCAAGTGAAATCAAGCAAAGTGAGATGACTTCTTTGATTTTCGAATTGATGAGAAGATTGCACACAGAGATGGACAGAATGCTCGAAAAACGACTTTAGCTGCGCTCTAGAATATCTAAAATTGCCCAAAATTTAGTGCCCTGATCTTGTCAGTCAGTTTATGTCCAATCGAGTTTAACTCTCAAAGGTCGAATAAAATACAAGGATTGAATACTATCTATATGCTAATACGGATATGAGAGCAAATTGTTTTGTATTTATTAGCTTGCAACTTTTTTCTCAATCAAACTGATTATACAGTTAGCACTAATCCATACTCAGTAGCAGTTGTCGATGTGAATAGTGATTACAAACCAGATATCGTTGTTACTGCAAGCCAGGTTTCGGGCAGCGTCAGTGTTCTTCTCAACGCAGACAATGGCACCTTTAATGCTCAACCTGTTTATCCAGTTGGCAGTTATTCATACTCAGTAGCAGTCGTCGATGTGAATAGTGATAACAAACCTGATATTATAGTTGCAAACGAAGGTTCGAACAACGTTGGTGTTCTTCTCAACGCAGGCAATGGCACTTTTAATCCTCAAACTACTTATACAGTTGTCAGCAATCCATATTCAGTAGCAGTCGTCGATGTAAATAGTGATTACAAACCCGATCTGGTCGTTGCAAACTCTGGTTCGAGCGACGTCGGTGTTCTTCTCAACGCAGGCAATGGCACCTTTAGTGCTCAAACTACTTATACAGTTGTCAGCAATCCACATTCAGTAGTAGTCGTCGATGTGAATAGTGATTACAAACCTGATATTATCACTGCAAACTATGGTTCAAATAACGTCAGTGTTCTTCTCAACCTAGGCAATGGCACCTTTAGTGCTCAAACGACTTACGTAGTTAGCTCTAGCCCATCCTCAGTAGCAGTCGTCGATGTGAATA